TCCCACTAAGAACCCCTCCCCTACCATATGACCCAGAACTGGAGAAAGAGAAGGGAAAAACGAGATGTTTTGGGGGAAATAAAAGTACACCAGTGGCTCAAAGTTGTTACTCCAGCAATGCCATAGTCTACATTAGTGAAAATGCCTGAGATTAAAATCACATACACAAAAATGGAGAAAGGTTGCAATATACTTCAGAAAAGGATAAGACAAGGCCCCATAGGATAAAACAGGCATAGTGTTTCCCATGAAATATCAATTACTTAAAACCAGGAATATGAACCTTTTTTCCTTCTTTGCCTTTCATAAACACAAATACATCAGACTCAGACCTACCGTGACATCGTTCACCATCACAGTGCTATGACCCACACACAACAACACCCCAGCACTTCAACCAGTAGCAGCTGCATCAACATGAATAGCAGGAAGGCAGGCATCAAACGACCAGGGCAAGTGACCCGAGAAAGGCAGGACTAAAGGACACTGTCCAGCCTTTCCTAAGTTCCATTTGAGTAGGCCCTGCCTCCATCCAAGCTCTCACAGAACTGCCATTGACACACTCTATCCAGGCTTGTTGCTTATTCAAACGGCCTGCCTGACACAAAGCACCATGTGGGCAAGACATCCTCCAAAAGCATGCACTGGCCTCGCACGAGCTAGCCCACCATTTCACTGAATGCTAATGAAGGTCAAAGATCAGCTACTCTGATAGGTAGCTACACCCATATCTGTTCCACTACCCAGCACACTCCCAAAGCACGGAAGCCTTTAACTTAACACCCAGGAAAAAATTAAGTTTCATTTGAAACTGCTTTTTTCAATTGAGCTACACTTTAACCCAAACATTAAACAGCACTCCAGATGTTAATATAAATATCACCTGAGACGCTTGAACAAACTATACTGATGGGTTTGAGATTTAACTGTCCTGTAAGGTGCCAGTGAGCCAAAAGTTTTAAATGCAATCTCCATAATCTCCTTAATATTAAATCAATCATGCCAAATAATCAGAGATGTAGCTAAGCCAAATACAGTCACATTTTAGAATGGCTATATTGGGATTTAATGAGAGGATTTTACTAAAATATGAAATAAAGCTTAAATATGATGAAAAGTCTAAGCAAAGTAAATGTGGAATGACACTTCAAAAACATATATCATGCAAATTTATTGAAGAAAATAGTTATGGATGTTAAGCCAGTATGTATGCACTTAAGAAAAGTTAGGAAAAGAAAACAATTTGAAAAACTTTTCTAAACAATTTCAGTCAATTCTGAATTATCAGCATTAATGGTGAGGTTAAGGGCATGAAAATATATCCCAAAAGAGTATAAAATACAAAATGCATTTTTGTTTAACTTGGAAAGTATTTTAATTCTAACACTTAAATATCAACCTGTAGGGCCAGCCCCGTGGTTTAGCAGTTAAGTGCGCGCGCTCCGCTACTGGCGGCCCAGGTTCGGATCCCAGGCGCGCACCGACACGCCGCTTCTCCCGCCATGCTGAGGCCGCGTCCCACATACAGCAACTAGCAGGATGTGCAACTACGACATACAACTATCTACTGGGGCTTTGGGGGGAACAAAAAAAAAGGAGGAGGATTGGCAATAGATGTTAGCTCAGGGCTGATCTTCCTCACACACACAAAAAAATCAACCTGTAATAAAATTTTTCAAACAAATAATAAGGTACATTGACTGTTTCAATTAAAGGTGTTGCTAAATAGCCAGATTTTATATCCAGATTCATCTTTGTACGTCTTTGTGTTAAGCACCAGCCTGAATCTTTGTTTTTTCTCCAAACTTTTTCAATTCTGGCTCATGATGCCCAGGTGATTGTGTATCTCAAGTCTTTCTGGTTGATTAAGACATAAATTCTCTTTTGTTATCCAGCACATAATCTTTCAGCTAAGATTTGTGATCAAGAACCAAGGGCACTCTGATAAAAGTGCCAAGTAAAATGTCAAGGAAAAAAGCTAAGGATCAAACCATAAATAAAAACAAAATAATTTTCCTTCCTAATCTTTTTAATAAACTACAAGATTTAAATGAGCCCCAAACAAGATTAAAAATAATACAGAGTTAATTGCAGGTACAAATGATAGGTCAATTAGGACGAATGCACTGTTACAAACGGAATAAATTATCTAAACAGGGAAAACCAACGTTAATATCTGGGTTAAATAAACTAATCCACCATCTTTTTTCCCCACATTTCAATTCTAAAGTTAATAACAAAATGTTCCAGGTGAAAACAAGCTTGATTTTCAAACAGAAGTACTGACGTCCAACCTAGTTTCCTCAACTGAAACAAAACGAAAGCACGGAGGGTAGGGGGTGTGGAATACGGATGTGAAGTTAGGCATGAAATGGAACACTGTTGGTACAGTTCTGGTTTCTGACAAATGAAACGGTGCCCTGAGCAGTTCTGGACTTGGGAACAGATTTACGTACCGACTGTTTGCTGTTCTCATCCTCTTCTTCTTCATAACCATCTTCATCACCCCCGAGGCGAGAAAAGTCATCCTCTCCATAGGCTTCAGACACCAATCCACCTTTCTCTTCTAAAACAGAGGGAAAAAAGAAAAAGGTATGAATTGGGAAAAAAACGCAAGAAAACCCTTCAGTGATTTGAGCAGCCAGAACCATCTCTGAAGATAAAAGGGGAGCCTAAATCTCATGTAAGGAACCGTAGGCCCAGATTCTGCCTTTGGGAAGGCCACAATTTAGTGTACAAAATCATTAAAAGAACATGGAAGACGGGCCCGCCCCGTGGCGCAAGCGGTTAAGTGCGTGCGCTCCGCTGCGGCGGCCCGGGGTTCGCTGGTTCCGATCCCGGGCGCGCACCGACGCACTGCTTGGCAAGCCATGCTGTGGCGGCGTCCCATAGAAAGTGGAGGAGGATGGGCACAGATGTTAGCCCAGGGCCGTCTTCCTCAGCAAAAAAAGAGGAGGATTGGCGGATGTTAGCACAGGGCTGATCTCCTCACACACACACAAAAAAAAGAACATGGAAGAAAACCAAGTACTAAACTCTATTTCTAATGCTTCCAATCCACATATTATGCCAATTGAAGCCTTCTCTTCTCTGAACTATTATAACATGTTGTTTAAGCACCTCTTTTGATATGCATATCTCTACCTTGTATCATAGGCACCAGTAAACCTGTCTTCTCATACAAGACAAGGACTCTGTCTTCCTCATTTTTGTGTGTCCTCCCCTAGGAACAGGATCTTGAACAGGGGGCACTCCAAAGGGTTCCCAATCACACCTACTTGAGAAGCATAATCTTTTTCTATGCTTAAAACAAACCAAACAAACAACAAAACCCCAAACACTACAAATTACTGGGAAACCACGAGAGAACCTCTTGACTGAAACAGACCGCACAAAACAGAGTAGCTAACCTAGTCTAACTCCCCCTCACTTTCCAGATGAGAAAACCAAGGCCTGGAATGTTAGGTAACTTGCTCCCTGTCTATGATCTCAAGGAAATCTGTTCCCATTTCCTAACATTGTGATTCCCAACCAAAGTAAGGCAACAAAATCACTGATGGCCTTTAACTCACAAAGTAATGGAATCACCGAGGAGCCGTAAAAACATCAAAATGCCCAGATCCTACCCCAGATCTACGGAATTAGACTCTCTCGCAGTGGAGACCAGATATATATGTATTTTTAAAAGCTCCAAGATGCGTCTAGGGCACATTCCTAATTAAAAGCTACAAATTTAACAAGATACAACCTTTATCACCCTTCACGTACGTTTTACTCATCGCTCCCCCATCAAACAACGAGCCCGGAGGAATAGGTAGTGGTTCAGTAGCTTTGGATCCTCTCTACCTTTCGTCCATCTCTCTGCCCAGCACGATGCTCGGCACGGAGACGACTTTCAGTGAGTTTCGGCAGAATAATCAATCGACGGAAGGAGACAGTCCATTCTTACTACAAAGCGTCTACCCTCTGACCCACCCAGGACCCCGATCGCGCTTCGCGGCTCCGGGGCCCGATATTTGGGGCACAATGACCATCTCTTTCCCTCCCGCCCTGCCAGAGGAGCAACGTTCCAAGCAGACACCTGATTCTCCCCTTCCAGCTCCCTACTCGGGCCTCACCAGCCGCGCTGCCCGCCGTTTCGACTCCAGCCTCGCCGTCGGACTCAGGCTCTGAATCTTCAGCGTAAACTGCCAGAGACGACAGAACATTCTTCTTCCCCGCCATCTTACACCCACAGTCCCGGCGTGGCTCACTCCTATGACTCCAAGAAGTCGACTTCCGTGGGGAAAAGCCACTTCTTCCGGATCCCAGGAGACCCCGCGTCTGTTCCAGACAGGAACCAATCAAAACGGCCATTTCTGGGTCTGGCCCCGCCCCTCGCGCTAGCGCTAGGGTAACGTCATCACTGCCCGACGGATACAAGGTTGTGTGGGTTTTACCTGACGCTAAATTCCTAGCGGTTTTGCTTCTCAGATTTGGGGGTGGCATACGGAGGTCTTCGAGTAGTTCTCCGGCCAGGGGGCAGCAGCGGCCCGGAGAGAGCCCTTCGCTCCTGGGCTGCTCACGGCCGGCTCTGATTTCTTGAGGTGAAGAGAGGGAGGCTTTGGCTGGGGAAGGGAGAAAAGAGCGAATCTGAGGCTCAGAGGAGGAAAAGGGAAGAGCTCTCCTCCAGGAGGTGGGAAGAAAGGGTCGGGGTCCTGGGGGGAAGAATGGTCGTCATGGCTGCGCTTATAGAAGGAGCAGAAGGTGGCTCTTAGAAAAACAGTTGCACCTTCTCCGAACTATTCCAAAGGCGTTTGTGTTTCTTCTCGTGATCTAATTTCTAACTCTGTGCTAAAATGTGGCCTGGGATAGTTCAATGTTTTTATTTTCACTGAGCATAAAAGTGGAGATGTTAATTAGCCAGGAATATATTGCTTGAGGTAATTCACCTGGAGCTATATTGCTTGAAAATAATATGTTGCTTGAGTGTAATAAAGCGAATTTATACTCAGAGAAAAATAAACTGTATTTTACAAGCAGAGCAGAGGGTTCTTTTGGCAACCATAGGATCATCACCTTTGCCTTAACCTTTGGCCACTGTCTGTCGCTAAGATGAGCACCCACCCTTCCTCTCCTTTTGGCGCTGACCGTCGAGTCCGGAGCACGTTGAAGAAGGTCTTTGGGTTTGACTCTTTTAAGACGCCTTTACAGGAGAGTGCAACCATGGCTGTAGTGAAAGGTAACATTGCCAAACTACCTGTGTTTACATTTGTGCTGGCTCTACCTTAGCACTGCTGCAGAATACCCTACTTCTGACCCTTCCTACCTCCCTGCCATTGGTCCATAATTGGTTTTGGAAATCTTGTAGGCTTGTCACCCAAAGCTTGCAGTTTTATTGGCAGAACCTCCCATCTGTTCTGGTTCTTACATTTCATGGCCGGAGCTACAGATTGTTTTTGACACCAGTTCATAGGTTCCCATTCTTGTTCATTTGTGTGTAGGCAGTAGTGGGGTTGGCAGGAATTGCCCGACCTAGTCACTGACTTTCTAGGTAATCCCCTTGTTGAAGATTGAGTACCCTGGGTCCCAAATAGGGAAGGAAGGAGTACTAATATTATAAACCTAAGATATGGGGACAAATGGAAGTTGTCAAGAAGGAAGCAGCAGTGTAATCTTAATTACATTATAACATTTATAAACCGAAGACCTCTAAGTGATGTTGCTTCCATGTCTACACAGATATGCCCACTCGTCTAGAAATAGTCAGGTTTCAATGGCTGTTTAGTTTAATCATCCATATCCCAGCCAACTCAGACTTCTTAACCTTGTAGTTGTTATTGCCTTTACCAGAAATGGTTTGTGCACATTTCCAAATCTCCCTGGATCCCTGCCCTTTTCATAGAAAGGATGAGAAGGAAATTAACGTTACATTGAGAACCTCCCATATGCCAGACACTCTGCCAGGTGCTTTTCCTACATTATCATTTAATTTTCAACGGCTTTGATGAAGGAAAAAGATAAAAGGCATTGAGATGTTGTCTTGTATTTTTGCAGGTGACAAGGATGTCTTTGTGTGCATGCCCACAGGGGCAGGAAAATCCCTCTGCTATCAACTCCCTGCTCTGTTGGCCAAAGGCATCACCATCGTAATCTCTCCTCTCATCGCTTTGATTCAGGTGAGGCTTAGAGAAATGAAGATAGTAGCCCAAAAAGTTTAGGGGAAGGTTTTTTATAGCTGGAAATTTTACTTTTCCTTTCTTTTTTTTTTTTCCCCTCTTATTTTCTTTGATTTGCCTCTCTCTCTCTCTATATTGGGTTTCTGAATTGCCCAAATGTGGGGTTCTCCATTAGTGCATATCACGCTGGTAGGTTGTAAATGAGTCTTCTGGGTTTTGATGGCCTGAGATCTCTCACTCTTCTTTGTAACTTTTTGTTCAGAGGAATATGGAACTGTATCTGTATATACACACACACTCACTCATGTGTACACATGTGTGCACTCTTGACAGGACAGAAGATCAGATAGATAAACAGCTAAATTGATATGGGGGCATCCCTGGTATCTTGCTTTGTTCTGGCAAGGGCACGGCTATGAGACAGAAAAAAGATGAGAAACTGGTTGGGATGCATTAATATCTGCTCTGCACTTCTGACTATATTTAAGGCCTGCAGATGGGCTGATAGAATCAGAAATGAGGAAGTATGGCTGTGTGGTTAAGAGCCATCTGCCATGAAGAAAGAGAGAGAGGGAGCAACAATAACAATGCTTAATGAGTGTTCACTAGATCTCAGGCTTTGTGCTAAGTGCTTTATGTGCGTTAGTTTCACCTTGGAGATGTAAAATTTTATTTAATTCTTACAACAATCCTATTAGGTAGTTACTATTTTTATGATATAGAGAGAGAAAGAAGGTGAGAAAATTGAAAGGTTAAAGTTAAGAACCAGCCAAAGAGCCTGTTGCGATTAGGTGAGCCGGGATTAAATCTAGTTCTGTTGGCTGCAGAGCCTGTCCTCTCAACTACTTCACCATCTGTACTTCTTATCTGCAAAGAGAAGACATATTGGAGGGTGGGAGGAGGATGTTTTATGACTGGAAAATACCCCAGGGAGTCGCAATGACATTTACCATTGAGTCCTGAGGGCCAGTTATACTCCCCTCTGTGGCCTCTCCTGCTTCTGCCCTCAGGACCAGGTGGATCACTTGCTGGCCCTGAAGGTACGAGTGAGTTCTCTGAACTCGAAACTCTCAGCACAGGAGAAGAACGAGCTGCTCTCTGACCTGGAGCAAGAAAAGCCCCGGACCAAACTTCTGTACATCACTCCAGAGATGGCGGCTTCAGCCTCCTTCCAGCCCACCCTGAACTCCCTGGTGTCCCGCCACCTGCTCTCCTACCTGGTGGTGGACGAAGCTCATTGTGTTTCCCAGTGGGGGCATGACTTCCGTCCTGACTATTTGCGCCTGGGTGCCCTGCGCTCCCGCCTGGCACATGCCCCATGTGTAGCTCTGACCGCCACAGCCACCCCACAGGTCCAAGAGGATGTGTTTGCTGCCTTGCACCTGAAGCAACCAGTTGCCATCTTCAAGACTCCCTGCTTCCGGGCCAACCTCTTCTATGACGTGCAGTTTAAGGAATTGCTTTCTGATCCCTATGGGAACCTGAGGGACTTCTGCCTTAAGGCTCTTGGACAGAAGGCTGATAAAGGGGTGAGAGCTCTGAGGATGGAGGGGCCAAGATGCACCTGGAGCAGTGGGGTGCTATCTGGAGCATAGAGATGGATATTGGTTTTCTAAGACCTTTGTTTTTTTCAGCTTCTTCAACCAGAACTAGCTGTAGCTTCTTAAAACTCGTGCACAGAGGGTTGTTCCTTTGGTTTCCTGGCACTGTTCCCCTTACTGGGGTTCCCTTGTCCTGGAATCCTTTTGCGGGAGGCAAGCAGCCGGCCCCGCTGAGGGTGGCCTTTGTAGACCTATCCAAGGTTTGAGGGGAGGAGGCAGAGGAGTTAGGTAGGTTGGGTTTTGAGCTGCTTTGGTCCTGCTGTGTTGGAAAGTGGCAGAGCCCTCTTGGGTATCCTGCCTTAGAGGAGACTGTGAGGCTGATGAGAGGAAGATTGCAGAGCTTCTTTTAAAGCAGGCCACAGTATAATGGGCTGACTGTCTTGTGCTTCCCAATGCTGATTTTCTTCTGTGTCACCCCATTCAGTTGTTGTCTGGCTGCGGCATTGTCTACTGCAGGACTAGAGAGGCTTGTGAACAGCTGGCAATAGAGCTCAGTTACAGGGGCGTGAATGCCAAGGCTTACCATGCAGGTAAGGGGCGCCCAGGCCATGTGGTCTTCTTCACTCTCAGAGGCCCCTTAGCGGGTCTCTTGTTCCTTATGGATCCTGGATAATCAGATGGTCCATCATCTTTTTCCAGATACCCACGCAGAGCTAAAGTGATTCACTTGAATCCACATAACGGAGTGTAGACATGAATGAGGTCTAAAATGAGAATTGTGACTCCTGAATTCTTTTTCTCACCCTTTGCCCACCCAGCAGCAGATGATGAGTTTTTATAAGCCCAGATGTTGGTGTTGTGGAAATAGCATAGGCTGTGGAAGCCAAGGGACTTGGGTTTGAATCTTGGTTCTAACATTGATTGAGTGCTCTGTGCCACACAAGGGCTAGGGTCTTTACGTTTATTAGCTCAGCCTCAGTGAGGTTGAGTGCCTGGCCCAAAGTCGTACAGCTAGTAAGTGATGGATTCAGGATGTGTATACATTGCCCAGCAGAGTGTCAAACCAAGGGAGACCCCAAGGGAAACCCAAGGGAAATGCAAGTTTCCTTCCCCGCCTTCCCTTCCTTTATAGGGCTGAAGCCTTCTGAAAGAACACTGGTGCAGAACGAGTGGATGGAGGAGAAGGTCCCTATAATTGTTGCAACCATTAGCTTTGGGATGGGAGTGGACAAAGCTAACGTCAGGTGAGCTCTGGTTCTTGTCTGGCTCAGGGTTGGCTGCTTAGTGCTCTGCCTAGAGGACCAGGTCCATGTGCTCCTTCTAGGGCCAGAGGGGAAGGAGGCCCCAGGAGAGAGTCCCTCATACGCAGCCCAAATGCTGACAGTTCCTGTGCAGCCTGCTCCCCGCCAGCTGCACACAGGATCCTGCCATTCCCCGTGAGGGGGCAACACGCAGACCGTCAGGCTCATGCATTAACACAGTCCTGTTTGCTCACATCTTAGCAGATGGACTCTGTGAGAGAGTGGAATGAACTATCTTAAACTACTCCCTGTGGGAAGTCAAAGGCAAAGATCTTATTTCCGTCATTCCTTGTTACTGCTTACTGACAGTCTAGAAGAGATGGGTGCATCCCAGCCTCCTAGCCCCAGACTGGCAACTGTTGGGAAGTCTTTTACCTCTAGCCACGCCTGACCTTCCAGGGACATTTTGGGCGACAGCCTGGAGCCCTTTGCTCTGATTAACACCAACAATAATACCTTGTATGATTTGCGGAGCACTTTTGTGTACATGGTCTTGTTAAGCCTCACAGTTGGTCAGGATAGAACTCAGTCCGTGTACTACGTTTGAGAGAACACGGACTTTGGAATCAGAGTTTGAACTCTGAGTCAGCTGTGTCTTGTTAGGTGACAACTTTGAAGTCAGACACCCCTAGGCTCAAATCCCCCTGCAGTCCCCTTGCTATGTCACTTTGTACAAATTTATCTCTCTGAGTCTCAAGTTCATTGTCTATAAAATGGGGCTACCTCACATGATGGTGACTGTAAAAGTTAAATGAGACAAACATATACATTGAGTCATAGTAGGTATTTAATAAATGTTATCCCTTTCCCTCTTCAAAGAGGTTATAAAGGAGTTATTCAAGGTTGTGCAGCTTATAAGTGGCCTAATCTTGTTTCTTTACATCTAGTATTTTTTCCACTGGGCCTCTGACTGTGAGGTTTTTTTGATTTCTCATATGTGCTGGGATTGGCCCCTTAACTCTGCTGTGGTCTCCAAACTGGGCTGCTGCATGGCAGGGAGCCCTGCTGATGGACCGTAGGTGTCCTAGCCACACTTGCTCTGGGATCCTCTCTCTGCCTCTCTACCTGCTAGCCTTCCCGCTCCTGGTCACTGGGAGAGCCCTGCTCTGCTGACTCAGATCACTGCTCCCCTCAGCTCTTCCACATCTTACACTGCTTGTCCCTTTGGGTCCTGCAGGTTTGTCGCCCACTGGAATATTGCCAAGTCAATGGCTGGGTACTACCAAGAGTCTGGCCGGGCAGGCAGGGACGGGAAGCCTTCCTGGTGCCGACTCTATTACTCCAGGCATGACCGGGACCAAGTCAGCTTCCTGATCAGGAAGGAAGTAGCGAAACTCCAGGTGAGTCCTGGGCAGTAGGAGCCCTTTCTGTCCGAACCCACCACTCAAATTGCACGCAGCTTATTTCTGAACCCAGATGGAGCTTCTGTAAGCAAGAGGGATACTCCTGGGCCTACAAAGTATATCAAGCGAGGAATGGTGTGTTGGTGCATAGGCAGTTTGCAACAAGCTAGGTTAGACTTTTTTCTTTGTATTTAGTTGATCTTAGTATAATCTTTTGTTTCTTTCCATAGTCAAGATCAATCCTGCCTTGTTTTAATTAGCATTTTACATAAGCATTTTCCCATATTGTTATAAGTTCTTAGTTTTTGTTAGTCTCTTTTTTTTTTTTTTTTTACTGATTATACATTCTTTGTAGAGAGTCTAGAAACAGACCCATGTATATAAGGGAACTTGGTGAGTGATTGGTATTGTTACAAATCAACAGGAAAAAGATGAACTGTTGAATAATTAGTGCTGGAAAAAGATAAAATTAGATCCCAACCCCCCATACCATACACATATGAGTTACAGGTGGATTAAAGACCTCAAAAAACTAAGATTGGGGGAATTATTTTATGGCCTTAAGGAAGGGAAGAGTATGTCAAGATTTTTTTTTTTTTTTGGTGAGGAGATCAGCCCTGTGCTAACATCTGCCAATCCTCCTCTTTTTTTGCTGAGGAAGACTGGCCCTGGGCTAACATCCGTGCCCATCTTCCTCCAGTTTATATGGGACGCCGCCACAGCATGGCTTGCCAAGCAGCGCATCAGTGTGCGCCTGGAATCCGAACCGGCGAACCCTGGGCCGCCACAGGGGAGCGCATGCATTTAACTGCTTGCGCCACTGGGCCAGCCCTCAAGATTTTAAAAGAAGAAACCATTAAGGAAGACATGATCTATTTGACTAAAAGCAAACTAAAAATTTCTATATAATGAGAGACACCATAAACAAAGTGAGAAAATGAGCCATCGTTGGGGCAGATATTTACAGTATACATGATTGACTGAATACATAGAGAACTCCTACTGGTAAGTAAGTAAAAGGCAAACAACTGCATAGGAAAAAGTATGAATTGCAGATAAGAGGAAACCAGAATATCTAATAAATGTATGAACTGATGTACAACTTCACTTAGGAACCAGAGAAATGCAAATTAGACAACAAGGTACTGTTTTATACCCTTCAGATTGGCAAAAATATAAAACATCTTTATAATCACTGTTGTCAAGCGTGTGGGGGAAGGGTAACTCACAGTGTTGTCAGGAATATAGGCTGGTACAACTGCTTTGAAGAGAAATGAGGTGACACGTACAAGTGGAGAGTACTGGTGCTCTGTGATTCAGTAATTCCACTTCTAGATAGACAAGTTGTCATGTGTACAGGGATGTTCATACACAAGGATGTACAGGGATGTTTGCTGCAACACCATCATAGTGGAATTGAACTCTTCCTCTGGAGGGTCTTGGATAAGTAAACAGTAGGTTTGTTACACAGTGGAATGGTCTAGAGCAGTTAAAAATGACACAGTAAATCTACATGAATCAACATGGGTAAATCCCTGTAAAGCATAACGTTGTGTGAAAAAAGCAAGTTGAGAAAGGATGTGTGTCGACTTTTCGTTAAAAGATTGAGCACGGGTACTTATTTCTGATCTCTACCAAAAGGGCAATAAAAGGACCAAAAAATATATAAACTCACAACAACAAGGAAAACAGGAGAGAAGACACCAGCAGGTAGAAATGTCAACAAATGTCTGCCTAGGAAACAAAGACTCTACTGGAAATCTACTAGAATTCATAAGAAAAACTGGCAAGGTGGCTGCATATAAGAGAAATATTTTAAAAATCAGTAGTTTTTCTCCACATTACCATAAATACCTATGAATGGAAATGAAAAATATTTAATTTGCAAGAACAAAACTTATAAAATACCTAGAAATAAGTGTTACAGGCTATTAGTAAGAGACTTTTTTTTTTAAAGC